CTTTATGCCCTCTTATTTTTCTACCATAGGGTTAGAGATCCCCATGAATATGGTGGATAATGCTTCTAGTCTAGATACCTTAGATAAAAGATGTCTCTTTGTTTATTGTAGTTTGACCATCTTCTCTTCACTTAAGAAATAATAATGACATGCATATGAACATTTCTCAGCATATATCTGAAAAAAACAACCATCAATATATTTTACTTCAAAACATCAGAAGGTTGTTCAGCTCAAATGTCTAATTATCAAATATTCTGTTCAGGCAAGATGCTAAACAGTAAGTCTTTAGTTAAACACCTCAGTCATTCCCCATCTGGTTCTGAAAAATGCTCCAGACCTCTGCAATGCATTCATTTCAGGGTTCTGAGTTGGTAAAATCCATCAAGGTATTGGACCTTTTCATATTTCTGTATACACAGTTTTATAGTTTTCACAGGAAAGATGAAACGAGTAGAGTACGGTCTAGAAAGGACAGGCTCAATTAAACAATTTCTCTTTGATTTAGTTGAGGAAAAGCTTTAATAATATTATTTTTAGCAATCATATCGATGCTAAAATATGGGTTATGTAGATAAATAGGTTTTATTCCATTGGTTCACTTTTATTTATAGTTATATAATATTTAGAAAGATGCTTTTAAATAGCAACAAGTACTGCAATTCTTTGAGCTGATGAATGAATGATGGTCATAAAACAGATTCAGTAGCTAAGAATTATTCTGAGTGTTAAATTTGCTTAATAGAAATAGTTACTTGCAATCATAAGTTTTTCAGAAAGCAGCCTGCCTAATGAATACATTTGTAAAAGTGAAGTATTCTGTAGACCCATCTATTACAAATTGCTATAATTCCGTTTAATTCAAGGAAGATAAAGCTGTATATAGTAGCTGAGAATCTCAGAGAGCTATATATAATCATTGATCTTATTTCAGAACACATAAAGTAGGGTCAAGAATTAAGCAGAGGCATTAGGGGGTTGCTCTGAGTGCTGGGTCACTGTCTGGAGAAGGAAGAGATGTTGTAATATCATTGGATTTGAGATTGTTTACTGCATCTCTTTTCTACATTTTTTCTTCTTTCTATCCAGATCTCCTCTTTACTGAAATTTTCTTTACATGGTCATTCCACACTTCACATTCCTCTTTCACAAACTTAACCTTGGTTCTTTAGTTCTCCATATAGAGCTTTTCTTCTCGTCACTCTGTCCTGTTCTTCTATGTGACAGGATCTGAATTTCAAGGTGACATAAGGTATCCCGTATGAATGTACTTCTAGTACAGTTTCAGATGAACTAACATTAAGGAGAATCAGGTAGGCATCCACTGGTGAAGTGGATGTCAATTCAAGCAGAGAAATGGGATGGGTGCAAAGCAGAAGTCTTCTGTTCTTGGTTAGACAGATCCTTGTTTTTCAGTATTCTGTATGCTTTCACACGGTTGCTGTACAAACAAGGGAATAAACAATATCTGTGAAGAAGTGGTGAAGCATTGATTCAGAGGAACTGTAGGAAGATGAGCATCAGAGCAGCTACTCCTGGGATACAGAGAAAGACATGGAGAAGTTAAGTCTTTTACACACTCTTCTGTCTTATCTTTATTACAGGCCTTCAGGTACAGACCCTTTGCTACTGGGCCCTAAAAACATAAGGACAATGAATGGCAACCAAAACAAAAGAAATACGATGTACAATTGAATCAACATATTTAGCAGATACTATTGCTGTTGTTTTGTTGTTTCTACTTTAATATTTACAGGCCAGGAGTATACAAATAAAACAAGTTAGGGTGAAGACTCTGCCTTCAGAGACCGTATCAAACACAGGAATAGTCCCTGTCATACCATGTGTAATAACTTTTTGTATAATAGATGACAACTAACTGAATTTTCCCTAGTCCTACTAAGAAAGTTGATCTTGTGGGAAAGGAAGGGGAAATATATACAGTTTTAGTAAGTTCTTTACAACGTTTCTGTAACCTGTGTGATTTACACTGCCTGATAGTTTTTCTGGTAGCTGTTCCACAGATGGCAGGTTTTAGACCAGTGTTGCTTTGGAACGTAGCTGCCTGGTCCTAAAGACCCATGGCTCAGATCAACCCGGAGAGTGAAAGGAGAAAAATGATTTATTTGCAGCATTTGGTCGTAATAAATAATGTAGCAAAGTTTCTGTTGGGTTATAAAGTACACAGTGAATGAAATAAAATAAAAACACAGTATACAGTGGTGTAGGGTATTTTGGTCTGGTGCCTCCAGTAAGACACATAAGGAAAATTTCCTTAGCTCTAACACTCAAACATTTTTTACCCTCTGAGGCATGTACACGCTTGCTCTAGGGCTCTGCTGCCTGCTGTAGGTTCTGCTAGCTGAGGGCTCCACATCTACTCAATCAATTATGCTCCAGCTGTAAACAGCAAACGGCTCACCTCCTCCTTTTTCTTCCTCACTCCCATCAGGGGACTGTTTGAATTTTCATTCTATTTTTCTGATTCTGTGAGGCCGTTGGCTTGGTTTCCATTGTCCATACTGTTTTATGTTGCTCTGCCTTCTATGCCATTCTTTTTGAGTTTGGTTTCTTCCCAGCAGTCTTCTGCTTTCCTAGCTGCAGTCTTGGCTTCTGATGCAGACTGCCAGATGGAGTCGGCCTGACATTGCAGTTAGTATGTGGAGTCTCAGTAAGAAAGCCTGTGTCATCTGGAGACATCTGGAGTTTTACGTTCCTCTGATGATACTTTAGACCCTCGAGAGAAAATTCTGCTAGGGAACTTAGTTGACTAAGTATCCAGTCAAAAGGTTTCTCCACCTTGTATCTGATAGCTTAGAACGTAATTATCTTAAACCCCAGTCAATCTGTGCTTTTGCCTGCATATTCATAGACCATATATTCTCAGATCGTAGATGCTCACAAAGCTCTAGCAATTGACGTTGCTGTCATTGCAGAATAGAGCCCTTAGTAGACCAAAATAGGAATTAAATGTTTATCCAATTTCCTCTGAATAGTGAAGGAAGATGAAAACCAAATACGAAAATTTTCCTTAGCTGGTATCTTCAGAGAAATGGGATTACAGTTAAGAACCTTTTTCCAGGCTTCTTCTAGGAATTTTTAAATCAGGAGATTAAATAATATGAACATAAAATAAAGCTCAAACACATGGAAAATAATAAAAGAGAACATTTAAATGTACAAATTAAATATCCATTACCCAATAAATATTAAATACTTCCCTACATATTCTTCCTGTGTAGTCTTGTCATCTGGTTAGTGTACTCCTCTTGACCCTGAGAGCTTGATGGATTGCTGAGATTTTCTCCCTATTTCCAGGGGTAGGTCTTTCAAGAACAGAGAAAGAGAATATTACTGATTTTGAAAATCTGACTTAGATGACATTTTATGGTGTTCTCAAGCTACAAATAAATATTCCAAGTAGCACCTAAACAGAGGAATAATGCACAGTAATGCAGATGTGTTAAGTAAAATATTGGATGATTCTGAATTGCATGTACATTTAAGTACTGGCTCTTAAACAGCTTAAAAGCAGAAAGAATGATCAATACTTGATGAATGCATTCTTTGCTTTGGGTAAAGTTGGGATAACTTTATTTGATTGATGTAGCCAGATTCCTGAATGGAGTAATAAGTTATAGTTAAGCTTCATTATAGGGATAACGATGTTGCTTGCTGTCCTTACATATACAGAAATTAGCTGGTCAGTTTAGGGTCATTCAGTTCCAGAATCTGTATTTCTAAGCATAATGTCTTATTAATTAGTTACTTATATATTCCTTTTCAGGTTTAGGTTTTCTGTGGTATATGGGACTGTAGAGTGCTTTGAATGAAATCTCTCTTTCATATTCTTCATTCTCAGGCATTTCTACCCCCTCTTCTTGAACAGAAAAAGAAAACTTAAGAAATCTAAAGAGAATGCAAAAATGTATCTTTCAGAGCCTACCATGTCAGATACTTGACTCTTGTAAATCAGCAATCAGCTCATAGAGTCTGAGAATGAAAACAAGTAAAGGAATGTCTTCTCAGTGCTCTCTGCAGGATCTTCTTTCAGCAGATTAGGGGTCAAATGCATTTACAAATCAGTAGGAGAGAAATCTGGCATTGCCACAGTGTGTTCCTGGGGAGTGCTCAGCTTTAGAAACTCTCTTGCTACCCACCTGGAAATTAAAATGAAAATTAAAGAATCCCTTTAAGTAATTTTGTCTCTGAGACTAATTAAAGTGCATAGTGAAATGTGGGAAGCAAAATAAAGTTCCCTAGTCTCTGGCTGTCTGGCATATCAACATTCAGCAGCAGAGGAAGCAATAAGTTTCAGGACAGAGCCCAAACTAGTGAGGGTTGCAAATAGTGCAGAAGTAACATTTTGGCCTGGGAGTATGGGGATGGGAGGCTAAGGTAAACAAGTTAGCAGTCCTTTAGCTTAAAACATCCTTTTTTCTGTAACTGGAAGGGTCACAAGACTCATTTTAATCAAAGGCTGCGTAAACGTTACCGCTTCCACTTCAAAGCATGCTCAGATTTGATGAATATGTGCCTTAATATCCCAGCTCACAGTGTGATGCCAGAGTTCCCCTTTGGCATTAGCCTGCAGTACTACGAAATGCTCTGTTCACCCGGAGAACTGCTGTAATAGTGTTTGTCAGCACGATGGTTGTCATGTTTCACTGGTAAATACATGAAGCTTTTATTGCATTTTTGCTTTGGAGGAAACTGTCCTCAGATAAACAATGTTAAGGACAGTCCTGTTAGAAGGAATGCGAGGAAAGGGAGAGATAAACCTTCGGTCATGGGATATGGCCAATAGCCTCTAAATATTGCACTTAGTGGATGAAAAAGCAGCAACATTATCATGAAAAGCTACAGAATACAGACAAAATATAATATTTGATTTTCTCTCTCTTGCTTGGGATGAAAATAATGACTTAAAAACAATGTCCTGTGCAATGACATTTATTTTTTCATGTTAGACTTTTATTTCTATTTTTATTGCATTACAGAAACTCCACTTACTGTATGAAAGTGTCCATTTCGCTGACGGTGGGTGAAAATGACACTGGACTCTGCTACAATTCAAAGATGAAATATTTTGAAAAAGCTGAACTTAGCAAAAGCAAGGAAATCTCATGCCCTGAAATAGAGGATTTTTTATTTCCATTTAGGGAGCCTGAAATTCTGTGGTATAAGGTAAGGAATGCAAGACATTTTTATCTTCAACAAGATATTATGCTATATTCTGGTGATTTTCATGATCTAAATATAGTATTCAATTTGAATAGCTTTAAGATTTGTTAAGAAATAGACACCCAAACAGACACTAGAAGGATAGGAGAAAAGAACTAAATGAGAGACATTCAAATCTTTCTTTGGTAAACTTCAGATTTAGTGTTTTGTTAATATCCATTTATGGATATCACAAATAATTGGCAGCTTTCTGCTAACAAGAGGGCTAAAAAAGCCACTTCTACCAGTCCTGGCTGGACCGATATGCCAAGATAAAGTCATGCAAGCTGTATATACAGGAGCTGTTTGTGCTATACAAGGCTGAAGAATATGTTTCTAGGACCTCAGACATAAAATCTGTTTGGAAAAATATAAATAGAAGAGCCACGTATGCTGTTAGCTGAACAAATTACTTGACTTTTGGAAGACAGAATTCAACAATGACTTCCTAAAATTTGGTATCGGCTTATTAGCTTTTACTTGCAGTTATCAGTAATTTCATAGTTTTTATTAATAACTGTATTTCAATATTGTATACTAGTTTCTAGAACTTAAGGGCCAAGTTCCAGAAAACAGGACTGCCTGGGGGCCGCTCACTATAACTTCCGTGAATGGCACCTTGAGTTCTGCATTTCTTGCTCTTTGCAGGAAATAATCACTACTCCAGTGTTGTAGTTCAAACAGTTTAAAGCCCTCAAACAGTTCCATAAATCTGAAATTAGACTGTGTATTGAGGAATGTCCTAGTTTGTGGTTGTTCATAGTTATGTGGTGGCATACATTCTAATTATTTAACAAATCGACTGATAATTTTTTTGATAACATTTTAAATGCTTCTAAGCATAGGATACAAGACTGTTATCTAATAGCAGTAAAGACTTGTGGCCTGGAAGGATTCTGGCTGAATTAGCTGATTTAGAATATCTAAGATGAGAGGTAACCAATTGTTTGCTTATATTTGCCTTGGATTTTATATGTGTAATAAAATACATAACTGAAGATTTATCAAATTTAAAACAATGACTGGCTTCTCAAACAATAGCTCAAAAGCAAGTCTTTTAGAGTCATTTACAGCGTTTGTGTGAATGTGCTCAAACAAGCTGTAATACTTTAACACTGAAAAACAAGCCTTGAATGCATAAACAATGATTATGCTAAGCTAATCAAGTAAAATATTTTATGACAGTCCATCAAAAGACATTATGTCTCATGAAAAGCATCTGTCCCCGTTCCTAATAGCTTATAAATATACTGGTTAGCAACACAAAGATGTTTAGAAAATCTAGAAAGACTAAAAACATTCCAAGAAGCTATTTCAAATAGCAGCTAGGTTATTTAGGTGGAATCAGTTTAGAGAGCCAATAAACGTGCAAACCAGAATGTATATTACTTTATTATTTCACAAAATGTAATGTTTTGATAGTAAAAATTAAAATATGGAGTCATTACTTTTTGTTGATATAGAACTTACCTATTACTAAGAGTTCAAAAAGCTTTGTTTCTAAGATATTTTCAGAAAGAGATATATAACTCATCCTTGTTTCTCCTCATTCTCATTGTTTTATCTTTCTCTCCAGTTTTTAAATTATCATTTGATTAAAACAACAAACAAACCTTTTTCCCCTGCAACCTCCAGCTATTGGTAATATAACAGTCACAGATCACAGACATAATTATAGGAGCAAATAAGTATATGAAATAGGAGCTCCTCAACAAATTAATGTCAAAGGGAAATGACCAAAGAAATCAAATCCTCTTCTTTTTCTTATCAGAAGGGCAACTGTTATGTCACTTGGTCTTTTTTTTTAATCAACACTAAACTAAATGGAATGTTGAGATATTTAGTGTATGTAAAATTCATGAACATGCTGAGCTCTTTTCTAGCCTTCTTGGTTTTGAACAACACTGACAGTAGTTGTCCAGTTTAAGTATAAGAACATAGTCACTGAAGTGTTATATTATCTTTAAACAGGAATGCAAGTCAAAGACGTGGAGACCAAGTATTGTATTTAAAAAGGACACTCTTGTCATTCGGGAAGTTAGAGAGGATGACATTGGAAATTACACTTGTGAGTTAAAATATGGAATCTTTGTTGTCAGAAGAACTACGGAGTTAACAGTTACAGGTAATTATGGGCTCTTGCTACGTGTTATATATAGGAAAAACATTGAATTTTGTGATTTGGGATGTGAGTATTTGAGTCATTGTATCTGCTTAAACCTCTTTTGCACTACACTTTGCTGTATGCCTAAGCATGAACAGCTGATATATCAAGCTGTGCTGAATACTTCACACAAATATGTGTAATATTTTGAACAAGTCTTGAGTTTTGGTCTGTTGCAAAAGTTTATGGTAAGGTCATGTTTCTGACTGGAGAATAGGGACAAGGAACTTCAGCAACACTGCCCCTAACAGAAAATAAGGTCATGAAGTCTGTCATGCTTTTCCTTGTGGTTGAATGCCTTGAGATATACGAGTACCTGTAGTGGATCGGATCAGATTAAGAGTATGTTTAGCCCAACAGGGTCATTGTAACAAGGTGATGGATATTTAAGTAGTGCCTCGACAGTGTGTGAGTGAAGCATAGTATCATTCTTCTTCTATGATAGTCTTTCCCAGCTTTCTGTAGTTGGTAGTTCAAGAACTTCCTGATCTCAATCATCATGTGTAATGGCTACCAATTAACCTATTTTCCATTAGTCTGTTTTTTTTCTTTCATACATTTATCCTTGGCTTCAATAACATTTTGAAGCATCAAATTTCACAGTGTAGTTATGTAACATAAATAAACTGTATAATATAGCAAGCAGCAATGGAAGAAGATGCATTTAATAAAATTTGCAGTTAAAGCTACAATATCAATATATAAAATCCATCAAAGCTGAAAACAAAAATATATACCATAATAGGAATGTCTGGAGCTGCAGAATATTATGAAGAACAGCCCATTAACTTCTCCATTCCTCAACACATCTTTAACCTCTATTTCATAAATATATAAAGAATATAGCTGAAATTATACCTAAGGTAGAGAATTAGCCTCTACAGTTATAAGATGACATTGGAAGATAGGAGTCATGATCTCTGTAATGCGGTATGGTTCCATGTCATCTTCCCTAAAAGAAGACAGAAACAGGATTTTCTTGGGAAACTGAAGGTTACTTAGATACCTATTGTTCACAAAGGTGTTTGCTCATGCACCCTTTAAAGTACCAAATAAGCAGAAGAAAGAATCTTGTAGGAGAAGTTCTGTGGGTTTTTCCTGTTCCATTTGAGTAGCCAATATAGAAATACATTGTGGGCTGAGAATTAGTGACCGCATTTATGTTGTGCGTTAGGTTGAATTGTGACAGTTTCCTGTTACGGTGAATAGTTTGTTTTCTATGCTAAGGTACCCCGTTTGCCCTTTACATTATCAGAAATTACAGTGAATTATGGTTTGTAATTTTCTTCTAGTAGATTAGTCTGGAAATCATATTGTTTATATTGTTTTGAGAGAATGCAGGTAATCAGTCATATTTATTTAAGCTCAATATCCAGGATCTCTTCACAATTTTTCTTACATACGGAATTGATTTATATGGTCAGTACAGACAGGCAATTACTGTCTAGTGATTAACCTCACAGTAAACATCCATATACTCTGTTTGATTGACTCTCATATGAACAAAGCAGAAATAGAGTCCTCAAGAATTTGATTTATACCAGAATGTCAGTTATCTTTTTTAATATATGATGTATGGACTCGAGTGGTACATATCCTATCAGTCCTCAGGTGATCCCTTCCGTCACTGTGGATGAGGCTCCACTGTGTAGCATTATTTAAAGCAGACTTAGAGTGACAGAGAGGAGAAAGAAAAAAGCATCGTAACTGGATGCATGTTACTGTTTGTAGTAATATTTTTTTAAAAATTAATTCATCACTTGTGGTATAGGTGGGAGTTTGGTATTTAATGTTTAACTAGATAGAGACAGAAAGATACTTGGCTGATTTTGATGTGCTAAAAATGCATAAATGCTTAAGGAGGGAAATGTATGATTTCCAACTCTGCAAACCCTGGCAGATGTAAGGACAACTTCCAAAGCAGTAAAATGCTTCAGTAGTACTGTAGGTCTTCATACCATCAGAATAAATAGATGTATTGATAGTACTACTAATTTTATGCTACAGCTGTACTTATGCCTTGATATGACTTGTTAGCATTGCTTCATAAGAAGATACTCAAACTTTACATGCCTGTCTTATTCTTTGTCTCTGTGCTGAAGAAGAGTTCAAGTTTCCCTTGATATGAGTTCAAGGGTATATGGTATAACATACAGGCTGAGAGAGGGGTGTTGTTTGTTTGCTTGTTTTGAAAAAGAAATCAAACTTTAATTTAGGAATGAAGAAATAAATGTTGCAGACAAATTAAAAGTAGCAAATTAAGATGATAGTTGATCACTTCACTCTATTAATGAATACTTATTTAAAACTAAGGGACTATGTGTCTTTTTGGCATGTGATATCTTACATGAGAAGAAATGTACTTTGGAGTAAAGCATATAATATGGACTAATTGTTTTTAGAGTGACAGTGGAGCTCTTTTCTTTTTTCAGCTTTTGCCATTCTTCTTACTCTCCTGTGTCTCCAGGCAGTATTGACAAACTTTTGTGTCAACTCTTGCTAAGAACAAATTCCATCAATAAATCCTAGCTCCAAAAAAGTCAGAAAAAACATTTCTAAGACATTTGAAATTTCTATGACAAACATATTTTTGACTTAAAATAACAGAAATTCCAAAGCATGAGTAAGCAAATAGTTTTGAGAGTTAGCATTTTGTCTCAGACTTTCCGTAAACTTTTAACATACAGATTTGGGCATTTGTAAAGTATTTATCAAAAAGAGATGTATGAAAAATAATAACTCTCTATATTCATTAACATTACTTTGTCGGTGTTCTCCTCCCTGATCCCACCATGACTCAAGGTTAGAAAAGGCAGTCACTGAACATTTTTCCATTTTCTCTGTGTTATTTTTCCATGTTTGTTTAATTAGGACTGCAGCTTGGACTTCTACCTTTCTTTTTGTAATGAGAAACATGTTTTTCTGGAATATATCATATTTTCTCTAAAAATAGAAAAGGAAAACCTTATGAAGTGAGAAATCCATGAGCTAGATGTTTTGTGTATAAATCTGTATTATTCTATAATAGTTGAAGATTCATCTTTGTGCATAATCGCCATTGCCTAGTATGAAATAAAATGGTTAATTAAACTGAGTGTAAAATTCGACTGAAACAGCATTCATATCCTTCCCTTTGCAAAGAAATAGGTAGAGTATCCAGAGAGTAGAGTTACACATTTACAGGGATATGTTCCAAAACTACTGTTTAGCTAACATTTTCATCTTAAGCTTGACCTCCAGTACTGATACTTTGTATGCTTGTTACATTAACTTCAGCACTTCATGTGTTACATACCTATATGCCTCATAGTCTGACTTAGAATTAAAGTTAAGAAAAAAACCAAATTTTTTTATAAAAAGGTCAAACTCACTTTATAGGTGGTATCCATCTCATCTAACTATAGCTATTGAAAATTCCTAATCCATGGAGAGTATTTTTTTCCACCTAGAATGAGAAAAAACACTGCCCTTTGTGACTTAAATTATGTGCACTGAATCCCATCCTAGGTACACCTTTGAAGTAACAACCACAAAGTAATAATTACTTTTAGTGATCACATTTTTGGTTTTATGAAAAAAATCTTGTTAATGTTAGGTATTTTTTCATCACTTAAGTAAGTATATACTTTATTTCCACTTCAAAATATGATTTCTTCTTAGATTAGGTATGTATCTGGCAGTTTTCTATTAGGATTTTTTTTTTTTTTTACTTTGACTTTAAAGTTACTTGGAAGACCTGTATCTCACATTGGAAATATATTATCCTTTAAATGATTTGAATCCATTTCCTCTTTCTGGTAGCATCTAACTTAGAAATTATCTACTTTGCAAATACAAACAGCTTGTCATTAATGAAAATGTTCACATAAACAACATAATTACTGGTTCTTGGTCTGCTGCTATATAATTACATATTTAAAAAATGCTACAATGTACTAAAACATTTGTAGATGTCTATACCTTGAGACTGGCCAGCATTAGCAATTTTTTCTTTAATCTGTGGAATTTTAATAAAAGGTGTACCTGCTCCCTGTGGCAACCTTAATTAAGGACATGTTCAGGCAGGGGAAAGGTTCATATTTTAACAGCACAGCATTAATTTAATCTGAGCGCACAAGGTGGGCCAAAAATATTTTCCAGCAATAATTTATTATAGTTAAATGTTAAGATTATTATTGTTCTTTATGTTGCCTGTACTACTAAGATATTTGCAAGCACAAACTCTTTCAACCTTCATAGAATTTCATTCAGGTCAAAGGAAGCCCAGCTTACGTCTCACAGACAGCATATATGTACTTCACTGCAATAGCAAATATTTGTTCTTGATGTACATGATAAAGCAAACAAACCCTGTTAGCCTTGCAGCTGGAACATTACTTATTCAATTCTTCCATGTCTTTTTTAGTTTGTAAATGTGAAATTATGTTTTCCATTCTATTAAAAGGAGTCTGCAGATGGAATCAGTGCCAATCAGTAGGTTCTTATTCCTGAAGTCTTTTCTCAGAGCCACACTGTTTTGTCTTTATTCATTAATTCCCTTAAAGTCCCCTTGAAAACAACTCCTACTGGAATGAGAACGATTTTGGATTTAGTAATTCGAGCATGTTCGCCATCAAGCTACACTATTATTAAATTTAATGTAAATTGATAAGAGTCTTTTCATTATTTACATTTAGCCTGGTTGGTCTAAGAAACGTCTGTAATAATCTTGAAAATACTAGTTTATTCTTTTCCTCTGCTGTCCATGACTCCTTTCTTTGCTAGGTTTGTAGACAAAAAGAGTGTCATTTTTATGCTTCACTGTTATAACTGGAGCAGACTCTATTAGTGTTGCTTAAAAGTAATTTTTTATCGAATAAGCTTTGCTTCTTTTGCTTTCTGAAAGGTTTCATCTTGATTAGCATAGTAAAAAATGTTAAAAGACTATATGTGAGTATGTATTTTTAGTGCTGAAAAGTCCA